GTAAGAGAATATCTTTGTTACAAATACTTAAATTATGCTTATATATATATATATATATAGATATACATTGCACCTGATTAGTTATTGAAATGGCATTCACATGCTTGAGTGTTTTCATATTATATATTGTTCATCCGATATGTGTACATTGTTTTTAAACAAAACATAGAGTCCTGAGCGGTAAATGATCCAAATGTGACAGACATGTGTAACAAATATCGTGCATACGAGTCTCTACACAAGCAAGAAACGGCTTAGGTTCACAATACTTGGTATACATGACATCACATTTGGATTATTTACGGATCGGGACTCTATGTTATGCATGTTTTGCCATAGGCATATGTTCTAAGTTAATCTGGTGATATATATGAAAAGATCACATGAAAAGTGACTCGATTTGGTTAGGGTGGTATACGAAGATGAATATCACATTTTTTTTGTTTATCATTCATGCAATGTATTTATTATAACTGACAGTGGGGTTATTATAAGAAATCTTCACGTGTACACTATGTAGGAATTTTTGGGATATAGATGAAGTCTTGATCATGTGTCTAGCTGTGTGTAGTGTATGTCAGTTGGACACCCTCTACAGCATGTAACTAGTTTGTGTATTATAAGGTTATCGACTTCTTGGTAACATGAATGAAACAGTGTATGTACATGTAGGAATGAATACCATGTATTCAATCTTCCAGACTTACATGGCACGTATTGTCGAGAAGTAACAGTAAGTTTGTGTTTGGGATATTTTTGGATAAGTCATTTTAAAACTCTTTGCAACATGTCTACAGAAGTCTACTGAATATTTATTTTGCAATGTTGTGTTAAAATGTAAAAGGCTATCACAAATTTCAAAAGTTTTTTAAATAATTCTATCCTAAACCTTTTGTGGCAATTTTACACTGACTTCAGTACATTCCTTGGCTCCAATGTTGGTAATTTTGTCATACAAGTATTTATCCATTCGCAGATTATATGCATTTGACCATGACAAATAATGTTAAGAATCCCTTCTGAACACATTGATTTTCCTCGTTATTGTCAGAAGCAACTGAGTAGGGACACTGTCTTATTTGTGAACATTTTATGTTGCGCACCGGTAAAAGCAAACACCAAGCACAAGGTCGCCCAAGTGGCGTGGCTGTTTTGGATGCGGAACAAGTTTGATTGGCCTTTTGCTTTACCCTTTGAAAGAAGGGTCTTGATTCATAACTTTATAATTATGTCAAAAATATACATTTTCCCTCTTGTCCAAAGACGATTAATTTAGATTTGAAAGTATAATTCTACAGTAACAATAATCAGTTGTTGTTTTCAAATTCGAACAACTAATTGGTTTGTAATAGTTGGTCATTTCATTATGCATAAGCGTCATAATAGTTCTGTATCTTGTTCTTTATGTACAATAAAAGTAAAACCATTTGTACGGATCAGTGTTAATAGTCTCATTTGCAGTATTGGAAACACGTGCACATATAGTTAAAGGCTAGCCTATCCTGCTACATGTATGTACGTACATTCTTTGAAGTTTTTCATGACCGAAATGTATTTGTAGACTTAGATGCTGTCTGGTATCACAGTTGATATCAAATCAGTTAAAGGAGCTAGGCTAGAGAGGTATTTTTGTTTTCCAGCACACAAATAAAATCCTATCATTTTTGTTTGCTGATGATATATCTTTAATTGATGGTTTTGTTATTGGCTTGCAAAGAAAGCTAGATATGTTTTCTAATAACTGGGACTTAGACCTTAACAGGAATAAATCTACTATTTATAAAAAAAATCAGAAATGATAGTTCCTTAAAGAAAACTAAGAAGTGGCACTATAGAGGTTTGCAAATGCAAACTGTAACACATTATAAAAAAACTGGGCGGCAAAAGAAAGTATAGGTCGAGTTTCATGATCGATAAAAAAAATAAGGAGAGGTTTTGTTGTGAATTATAATATAATCTAGGGAGGGGTAACAAATGATTGATCAACCACAGTTGGAATGAAATTTTGCAATCAAAGGTAATGTAAGCTCAAGGTAAACAATGGTGGGGTAAGAAATTTCATTTTCAAAAGTTGTCTGAAATGTCACCAAAACATTGTCAGACACTACAAGTTCATTGTCGACACAGTTGCCTTCAATAGCACGTATGACTTCCAGCTGCCTCAATGCATGCTGTGATACGCCGCCTAATCGATGACGTCAGTCTTCTGATGACGTGGGCTGGAATCCGTTGCCACTTGTCTCTCAGGGCCTGCTGTAATTCTTGTCTGTTGACGGGAGGCTGATAGCGTGCTCTAATCTGTCTGTCAAGATGGTCCCACAGATGTTCAATAGGATTCATATCGGGTGAGTGGGCAGGCCAGGGCAAAACGTCAACGTTCTGCTGGTTTAGAAAGTTCCGAGTCACTCTTGCAGTATGCGGCCTGGCATTGTCGTGTTGAAACAATGACACCTCCCCCGTCGAATACACGCCGGAGCCAAACGTTCCCCTCTGCGTCGATAAACAGGTTCTCTGCCGTTATTTCGAAACCAGTTAAACCGACTTTCATCAGTAAACAGCACTCGAAGCCAATTTCTCACTTGCCAGCGTCGAACCTGCCTCGCCCATCGCAGTCTCAGGCGTCGATGTTGAGCAGTCGGTACCATTCCTCGGAAAGAACGTTACGCTCGGTTTCCAGCAGCACGAAGTCGTCGTAGTACTGTGCGTTGGCTAAGGGGATGTCCCAACGCTAATGCTGCCGTCGCCGTCGCCGTCGCCGTCGCCGTTACGAATCTGTTTCGCAGGTGAATGAGCCATATCTGACCGTCTTCCAGTGGTGTTGTCACTCGGGGTCGACCCGGTTCTAGGCCTGTCCTGTGTCCACCCTGTCTGTCTGTACCGTTAAATCAGATTGGCTACTTTCAATGGTGTACAACCAAGCCTTCTGGCAAATTGAACCTGTGTTGCCCCATTTCGGCCATACCGATGTCTCTCTCTCTCTGCTCCTGTGACAGTCGTGGCATTTCTTTTGTGTGCTTTTATCACGTGTGGTTATACCCTGCAGACGAACGCATTTATACAGCTAACATGCACGTGCAGTTAATGCCATAGGCGGGAAACCCCTGTCACCATTTTTTGTCACCGCACGAGCGCCGTCAAAGGTGGCGCGTTCGGGTGAGGTGTTATTTAGTACCTGTTCCTGGGCAGTCACATTCCCAATACCCACTTTCCACTAGTTATCGCTATTTTTAAGAACATTACAAATTACCTACCTATACTTTCTTTTGCCGCTGAGTTTATTTAGCTCTTTTCGTCTGGATTAGTTTGGTCTGCAAGAAAGGCAACGTTTCATGTGTATTCTCTACTTAAAAGATATCAATCACTGTTGTGACAATCTTTGAGACTAAGATAGCTCCTATTTTAATGTATAGCTCCGAGACATGAGGTTTCGTCTTTAAAACGTCATTTTTGTGTATCTGAAACAGTTTCAAATACGACTGTGCTTGGAAAGGTTGGAAGGCATTATTTGTGTGAAATATAATTTACACGTTGTATCAAGTATTGGTGTAGATCGAAAACTTTTCAAACTGGGTTCCCCTATGTTTTGATTGCCCAAGATTGTGGAAATGTAGACCATTTTATTCATCAATTTGTACAGTCCGAAGTACCAGACTTGGCATGACAAAGTTACTTCCTCAACGTATCTAAATACGTACTCCTGTAATATAACAATTATTGAACCTGGAAGATATGCATTACTTCTTGCAAATAGAAAGGCACTTGTCTGAATGATATGTAACTTTCGTTGATTGTCACACAAATTGAAAATTCAACAACGTTGCTATCGTTCCTCAAATGACATTGATGCACTTATTTGTAGAATGTAAAATTTGCAGCGCATAGCAAATGAATATCACTTTTTCTTGTTTGCCTTTTTATCAAGTATCAAGTATGTTGCTGCGCACATTACTTTTAGTCTCATTGAATTACGTACTATGGACCATGAGGCTGAAACATTAAATAAAATGTGTCATTTGTCATATATCTTCTTTTGTTGTTTAACACTCAGTCATATTACAGCTATACGACGGACGTCGGTAAATAATCGGGCATGGATCAGACAATCGAGTGATTGACATAATAAACATCGCCCTACAGAACCGGGCGACAACCAAGTCAGCGATTCTCACTCGATTTCGTTAGCCATCTATAGCATAACGGTAAGCATGGGTTGATGCAAACTACTTCTCTACCGGATCATAATGGGGCACATTTATTTAAGGGAAAATGCAACACGCACAGTCGGATACAAGCGACCGAAAGGAGGCCACAGGATAGCCGACATTAGATGTCCGGCAAACTCATTTTTTCAAAGAATCTTTTCGACATAACTTTGTCTGGGGCCTTGGATGATTGCCGACCGAAGGGCAATATATCGCCTACACCAAAAATGGTGTAAAGTACAAATAGCTACATTTGTCGAAAAATGAAAATCAAAATATTGAGATCGTCGGGTTTTTGTTTTTTTCTTCGAGCCGTTCTGGAAGCCAGAGGTCAAGAGATCGTTACGCAAGTGAACAGTTGGCAACACGTGCAACGAATAAATTCTACGGGCACAAGTCACTGACACTGTTGGGATGTTGGGGTGTTTGGGTATGAAATATATAGAGGTTGTTCGGGTGCTCATAATATGGTCGGAATCGTACAATCGACTCTGTTTTGGTGGAAATGTCTTGTGAACATGAAAAGGGTTTTGTCGGTTTTGTGCATCAAAGCAACTTCAGACTGCCTGGTTTACGGGAGTAGTTCTTTATCTTTTCTATAATAAAGCTTGTACACCCCGAGCAAGTGACTCTTTGTTGACTAAACGACTGATTTTTTCCTCCACATGTAGTTTGGACAGCCCAGTTCGTCTGCCACATCTGGTTCATCTGGTCCAAATATGATTAGAATATGATACTCCCACCCACCCCCTAACCACTTGCTTTTTCTCCTTATTAATGAAATAATCAACAGATACGTTAATGAAACAATAAATACTTTATTCAAACCACTTCATCACAAGCTGAAAATGCGACATGATAAACTGCACGTCGACTCATAAAAACGTGAGCGCTGAAGTTTATCTTTGGACGTGAGCCGACTGGATCGAGTGTGTGATAACAAAACAGTGGGTATAATCCATGAGTCGTATCAAAGGTAGAAAAAGATGATGTCATCAGTGGACGGAGTGATGGACATGAGACCGGGTGTTTGACAGACGAGGAAGACACTCATTGCCGGGCCATCGCTTGTTGTTGGTTTCCACGATCCAGCGCGTCTACTTCCTGTAAAGGGGAGAATTGAAGTTGTTTAAACAAACACATACATGCCATGAATAAAGAGTCAATCCAAGTTTCTGATTGTCTGATCTCGTCACGATATGGCTGAAATATTGCCGATGTGACGTAAAGCATAAACTCACTCACTCACTTATGTCTGATATTTTCTTGGTGTTATGTCATAAAGCCAAAGCGGATCCATTCAAAGAGAAATGCACATGGTCAAGCAATAACTAATGACACGTTTTTGAGGTCATCGAATGCCAAATCGATCAATCCGTAGTTCGACACTAGTGCTGATAAAATGTTGTATGTGGAATTTAATCACTTCTTAGTATACTTTAATTTGAAACAAACTGCTGCTTGGTTGTGCCTGACAGAAACACTCTTTCCACGGCCGAAACTCCACTGCATCAATTAAAAGTACTGCATCAACGTAATCCCTTCCTCAAAACCGGCTGACTAAGTGTGTTGTGACATAGACACTCTGTACCGAGTTATGCCCCTTGGGGGTGCTTGAATAAAATCATACATGTTCCTACCTACACGTTTCTCACTTATTGAACATATGATTCTAAACCATGGTTTTCAGTTCAAAGAGTTATCTGCAATACAATACAATAATCTATATTCTGAATCACGTAATATTTCAATTGTACAATAGTTGAAGAAACGTGTTGCGTACCTATTTTCATTTGACAGATTCACATCAGTTTCAGTTATTAATTTATAATATCAACTTATACGTTGACAATTAATTTTTGCAGATAACCATGACAGTAATGATATATTAATTATAAAACCCATAAACATAGTCACACAGAAGGACCATCTACTAAAGCGCAAGACCTTGGGTGATTGTAAATTGTGGGTCCATAGCAACAAGCAAACGAAACAGAAACACCTGACAACTATCGCCACATGGAGGGGCTACCATTAACATGTGACACCCGCCTCTATACAACTATGTGTAGACATGTCAAACAGCCTCATACCACATCAAGATAATGCTAACTGCCAGTCCTTAAGCCCATCCTATTGAAAAGCGCAGTTCCACAACTATTTTACTTCATTGTTGTTGACAAAGCATTCCTTTAAGAAGTGTAAATCAAATGTGAAATTAGGACAGTTTTTACCCAACTTAACAAATGTAATTGCTATGATAGTCTTGACATTAACGTATTTAAACCCGAGGAACTGGTTTGATTCACTTACTCACTGAATTGTTTTCGACAGATGGCAGCCCAGTTGGTGTGGAGTTCACACACAAACCTTGGTTCGATCCAAACTGGTTTCCATAGTAGTTTGATATATGAAAACCTTACCACCCACTCGCTCTGATGGCAATGTTTGTATAGTGCTTTTGTGCAGTATTATATAACTAACATGTTGTTTCTAGCCTTGATTCTATTTGTCGTCCATAGATAATAAGTACACTCTTCAAAATTGTGCGTCAGGACCATTGTGAATAAATCCTGTTGTGTTAAGAATTCCTGGTTTGTGCCAGTGGCAGATTATGCATTTCAACTTTGATGTAATGATACCCCATGTGAGTGGTGATGCATGCAGATACTTTTCAACGCGTTTGCTATGACATGGACATCAGTGATGACGGAAGGTACATTGTTTTTATATGGTCACATTCAGGTCAGATTTATGTGTATGCCCTGGTTGCGGAGTGCTGAGTGCCCTCCTACCAAACTGGTGGTGTGGGCAGGAAGGTGTTATGTTCAAACACTTTGATGGGACTCTATTGATGATGTGAATCCTTCTTACCTGAGCTTCCTGTATGAGTGAGCAGATGCCACAGAGCCAGTGCATGATACAATCGTTACAGAATTCACCCTGAAATACAAATGAAGTCATTCAACGTCCATACCATATCAACACACACTTCCCTTTATTACATGTATATGATGGATTGAATGACATGCCAGTAACTGTAGAAGGAAAAGGGATTTTTTTCTGTACACTGTATACAAACATACTGATTACAAAACAATTGGGGATCTTGTAAAGATTATGAAATTATAAGTTCAGTCTTCACTTCAAAACAAATTCCACAAAAATATTCATGATCCCTCTTTTGATCTGTATATATCAGATAGCTTCGTATGTGCAATAGTTGCATGACGTCTATTCTCCAAAGATATTAACATTCAGGTATTAATGAAGTGAAACATCGTTTTAATTATAAATTGTCTTGCAAAGAGTCTTTGTTGTAAAGTAATGTACATTATTAAAACTTCCCTTCTATCGCAATGAACAGCAACGTGTCAAACATATACAACAAGCGCAATGGTAATGTTAAATATAATAACTGGTACAATGCTCTTATTAATACGATCGTACAAGACAGTAGTAGCTTGTTGTTAATAAAATGAAACACTCGCAGAACTAACAGTTTCACATATGATCGTATGAATATGTCTCTCTTGTCCACTTCCTTGAAAAACTATAACATTTATGAAACTGGAAATTGTTTCTTCAATGCTATTTTCTGATTCATATCAGTTAAAGTTACATAAAGTGAATTATCAAGAAAAAAGACTTTTTCGTGTGACGAGCTCAAATGTACTTCTGTGTGGCGCTATATTGTACATGCATAAACACATTTTAACAAAGCTTAAGTCTGATTATGTTTTTATGTTTACCTCGATTCCTTTGCTCTCCCTGACCTTTGCCCTGGTTTTGGCTCGGGTGTAGATACCGATAGGTCCCAAGATGCTTAAACATCCATATGTACAGCAGTCGTCACCAGTTTTCTCTGCAATTTTTCCTGCTGTGTAGCAGGGTGCGAAATAGGTTATAACGCACAATCCACAGTCATTGAAACAACCAAGAAGACCATTTGACCACTCGCCCATGATGCTGATGTTTTAGACTCCAACACAGTGCCAGGTATGACGATATGTCTGGAGGTCTTGCATGCCGGTATAATATACACCTGTCTGACATAACGATCGATGTCGTTGCTAGTGGTGACTGTCAACAGAATACCAAAATTTGGGTGTTAAGGAACAATTGGTCATTAACTATTGGTTGACCCACTACTGTTGCAGGCCCCGGTGAACACGCCTGATTACTATAAGACGCCTTTGACCTCCAACCGACATGCCTTTGGCAATCGGCCACACGGGACCTCTAAGTCTGTGCACAATCAATGGACCTTAGTGCCCTTTACATCAGAGCTTTGAAGAATTATATTTAAATCTACATCCTATTCATCTTGATCTGATCTTAATTTTATACAGTAATGGAATTAAAAGTGAGAGAGTTGGTTTAACTACTTTTGAACATTATTTTTTATACAAAACGGAGTGTGAATAAAGCGTTAAGTGACGATGGTCATAGCTTTTACTACTTTGGTATGGTTTGTAATGAGGGTGAGGGTATAGTTTATATTGACGGCAACTCTGGGATTCGAACCCACGACAACAGTCTACTGGCACGCCTAAGCGACTCGATGACGACGCCTTAGACGACTGGTCATTCGTACCAGAAATTATGGTGTAATATGAAAGCAACTAAACAACTTCCTGAATATTTCTTACGATATATGGGGGCACGAGTGGTCCAGTCGTCTTAGGTGTTTCTATTCGCTGTGCAGAGTTGCGTCCCTTGGGCATAGAAATCTATGATTGTGGGTTCGAATCCCGGTTCGCCTCGATTATGTTTCTAGGTTTTCAGCACCATACCCATGCTCATAGGATTTACCAAAGTGGTAAACGTCCGTAACATGCATAACCTCGGGCTTCGTTTCCACATTAAGATGACATGTCATAAAACAACCGAAATATTATCAAAAACGGCGTTAAAACCCATCTCACTCATTCACTCGTATGATTTATCCTACTCTCAGTTAAAATCTAGATATAAAAGAACACTGTTCAAATATGTTATATTCATCTTCCCGAGGCAAGAGAGTTAACTAACTTTAAAGTCCAGTTTCCACCCTTGCCAAACTAAGCTGACATTCCTCGGCTCGATCGTAGCGCCACCGTTGTCTTTTACGAGTTATGTCCCTTCTCTGCCTCTCCTATAGACCAATCAGATTCCACCTCACATATCACTTGCATTTGCTTCAAACAAACGGCAGCGCCCACTCAAGACGATCTGATCGATAATCAAGATCTATTTTGTGATAAAACGAGTCTTACATCTCGAAGTGCATCAAATCACGCAAGCACCTTGATTAAAAACATGAAAAGTTTAAGATTATATCTGTTGACAACGAGTTAGCGGTGCACATGCTTTGCAAATCTTGCAATCGACCGAAATCTGCATGACAGTTTACGAACCGGATTTCGATTTCGGAGCGCGATTTTGATTGGACTATGCATAGACTCGTTAGTCCAGCCAAAATGTAACTTCATAATACCAGCCTAGTTCGGCAAGGGTGGAAACTAGACTTTTATAGTCAGCTAACTCACTTGCCTCGGGAAGATGGTTATATTTGACCAAGACATTATCTTCAGCCCAAACGCATATCAGTATTAGCTAACTACACTGTATGTTCGTTATCAGGAATATACTGGCGCTTGTTGTATAAATAGAGACAGTTGCGGTTCGGACCAAACTTGTTTATAGTGAATTATGGGTGTCTGAAATGTAGTGTTTGGCGAGGGCTACCAAAAAACATAAGAAGGATCACGTGAAGATCCTTAAAAATATATTTTTTTCGTTATAACATTGCTGTTAAAATATTGACAGACAAACACACGATTGGTTTCCAATATATGAAAGAGGGAAACGGATTTCGCCAAGATAAACAGGATTAATTTGGAGGTTAATACATCACAAAGACTTGTGTGTGTGGAGGGTCACAGTTATTAGCCCCCTCAAATCCCAGGCGGGGATTATGGGTTGCCTAGACTTCGTAATTCGTAATTCGCTGTGCAGAGTTGTGTCACATGTGTGTGCCAGAATCCTATTATCGTATGTTCGAATTCCAGATTCGTCATGTCAATCAATCCGATAAGGCCTCTTGTTTATTAGCTACTTTTATCACAACCTGAAGTCGGTGGTCGAAAAAAATGGAAAAAACACTTCAATTTTGTTTTTGTCTCTTTTCAAAACACATGGTCGGTAGTTATTGAAAAAACTCTCAATTTCTGTTTGTGGGTCGTTGAGAGACTATATATCTTTTGTCAGGACAGTACCTGTAAAAATAATTTGAGGAATATTTTATTGCTAAAATTTTAATATTTTTATCTTATTGCTGTTTTCAGACTCGATTGTAATACCAAAAGACTCTTCATTGAGAATAATATATTTGTTCTACTTTCTTGATTTATATTGTCGGCGGATCCGTAAACCAACTAATAATAAAAAGTCACATGAAGCAAATATCACCACTTCACCGTTAAATATGCCTTGTTTTCAGAAGCACAATAAGTCGCCAATATCTTATATCTTATTCTATTTGGAAAAGCAACTAACACTGACTGTCAATGTATGGTTGGAGAGTGGTGGAGTTACGTCCCTTCCCCGTCAGTGTGCGAGCCGGCCACATATTTTGGTTCGACGGTGTGTGTTGCCTTTCACCACAGTGAGAGAGTGAGAATGGCTTTATGCCACTTTCAGCAATATCCCAGTAATATCGCGGCAGGTGAACATTATAAATGGGCTTCACACACTGAACCATGTCTTCGGCGTGTGTGTATTCAGATTTTCACGTTATTGTCGCATCATGCAGTAAACATATTATGTCAATACTCACTTCAGTGTGTTTACATTTCTTTTGGTAGACATTAATGAACATTGTCAGTGGAACTAATTTCATCTTACTTATAAAACTACTTAGGCGAATGTGACCTCTACTTATCAAATTGAAACGTCAATACCACCACAATACTGACAAGGACTTTGACTTAAAGAGGATTAATTTTATATGAAAATAATGTAGGCAAAACAGGTACATAAATGCTGAAAAATATGTGAAGCAATATTCCTTAAATAGACCTTACGTCGTATTTTCATTACAGATGATGTTATACGTGTTTTGAATTCTACTATTTACACAGTAAATATAAATGTTATAAGTGTTTTACAAAACGTTCGAATCCTGGTAGAGTCATTGTGACCACCGGGTTATAATAGGTCTTCAGCAACCCATGCTTGCTGTAAGATACTACAAAGTTTGTCATTTGCATTTTCAACATTCTTATGAAATACTCAACACAATGTTAATATAAAGATAAATACTTTATTCAAAACACTTCGTCACAAGTTGAATATGTGACATGATAAATTGCATGTAGATTCATAAAAACGCGAGCGCTGAATATTCATCTTTGGACGAAGCTGACTGGATCAAATGTTTGACAACAACACAATGGGTTGAACCCATCAGTCGTATCAAAGATAGAAAAAGATGACGTCATCAGTGGACGGAGTGATTGACATGAGGCCGTGTGGTTGACAGACGAGGAAGACACTTATTGTCGGGACATCGCCTGTTGTTGGCTTCCACGATCCAGCGCGTCTACTTCCTGTAAAGGGGAGAATTGAAGTTGTTTAAACAAACACATACATGCCATGTATAAAGAGTCAATCCAAGTTCCTGATTGTCTGATATTTTGTTGGTGTCATGTCATAACGCCAAAGCGGATCCATTCAAAGAGAAATGCACATGGTCAAGCCATAACTAGTGACACGTTTTTGAGGTCATCGAATACCCAATCGATCAATCCGTAGATCGACACTAGTGCTGATAAACTGTTGTACGTGGAATTTAAGCACTTCTTAGTATACTTTAATTTGAAACAAACTGCTGCCTGTTTGTGCCTGACAGAAACACTCTTTCTACGTCCGAAACTCCACTGCATCAAATAAAAGTAGTGCATCAACGTAATCCCTTCCTCAAAACCGACAGACCCAGTGTGTTGTGACATAGACACTCTGTACCGAGTTATGCCCCTTGGGGATACTTGAATAATCTCATACATGTTTCTACCTACACGTTTCTCACTCATTGAACATATGATTCTAAACCATCGTATTCAGTTCAAAGAGTTCTCTGCAATACAATACAATAATCTATATTCTGAATCACGTAATATTTCACTTGTACAATAGTTGAAGAAACGTGTTGCGTACCTATTTTCATTTGACAGATTAAAATCAGTTTCAGTTATTAATTTATAATATCAACTTATACGTTGGCAATTATTTTTTTGCAGAGATCTATGACAGTAATGATATATTAATTATAAAACACAGAACCATAGTCACAACGAAGGACCATCTACTAAAGCGCAAGACCTTGGGTGATTGTAAATTGTGGGTCCATAGCAACAAGTAAACGAAACAGAAACACCTGACAACTATCGCCACGCTGAAACACAACCATTAACATGTGACACCCGCCTCTATACAACTATGTGTAGACATGTCAAACAGCCTCACACCACGACAAGATAATCCTAGCTGCCAGCCCTAACGCCAATCCTATGGAAAAGCGCAGAGTTTATCGTCTTGATTCTATTTGTCGTCCATAGAAAATCAGTACACTCTTCAAAATTGTGCTTCGGGACCATTTGTGAATAAATCCTGTTGTGTTAAGAATTCCTGGCTTGTGCCAGTGGCAGGTTATGCATTTCAACTTTGATGTAATGGTCTCCCATGTGAGTGGTGATGCATGCAGATACTTTTCAACGCGTTTGCTATGACATGGACATCAGTGAGGACGGAAGGTACATTGTTTTATATGGTCACATTCAGGTCAGTTTCATGTGCATGCCCTGGTTGGGAGTGCTGTATGTCCTCCTACCAAACTGGTGGTTTGGGCATGAAGGTGCAATTTTCAAACTCTATCAGGGGACTCTATTGATGACTCGAATGTTAATCCTTCTTACCTGAGCTTCCTGTATGAGTGAGCAGATGCCACAGAGCCAGTGCATGATACAATCGTTGCAGAATT